ATATATATATATATATATATATATATATATATATACATATACATATACATATACATATACATATACATATACATATACATATACATATACATATACATATACATATACATATACATATACATATACACATACACATACACATACATATACATATACACATACACATACACATACATATACATATACATATACATACATATATATATATATATATATATATATATATATATATATATATATATATATATATATATATATATATATATATATATATACATGTGCGTCATGGCTCACGAACGAAATATTATGCTTTGTATATGAATATATTATGAATTAAGTAATTTCAATTTTCACAATAGCGCGCGAACGATTTGATTATTTCACCCCATGTCATTGTAATTTTGCAGTTAGTCTGAAGATGTCATGACGTCCATTTCAATGTATATATATATATATATATATATATATATATATATATATATATATATATATATATATATATATATATATAGGTCTTGAACCCGCGACCTTCGAATTACTAGATCGACGCTCTACCAACTGAGCTACACGGTCAGACGGATTTAAGACTGGAAATTATGAAATATATACTGAATGTCATAAACATACTCGTTTATATTAATTCAGCTGAATTAATATTCGACTCGAGTTCGTAGAATAACTGTTAAATATATATATATATATATATATATATATATATATATATATATATATATATATATATATATATATATATATATATATATATATATATATATATATATATATATATATATATATATATATATATATATATATACTATATATATATATATATATATATATATATATATATATATATATATATATATATATATATATATATATATATATATATATATATTGTGTTATATGTTCACTCCGTAATATGATAAGTTGAAAATGTTCTCGAGTTTGTATTTCATAATTTCCATACCCAGCGCAAGCGGGAAGATATTGTCTGCCACGGTATGGAAGTATAGTGTAAAAAGAGTGCTCAACATCAAGTATTTAACAGAGCAAATAGTATTTTAACCTAAAATTGAGTCACAACTCTGAGTTTCACGCTGAGTGCGATCGTCAGGTGACGGTGTTACAGGTGACGGTCGAATATTCCGTATGATAACGTTAGACTTATCACGTGTATAATCCAAACGTATATAAGTCCAAGGTCACCATACATCGTACGGAAGATTCAACCGTCACTTATAACACCGTCACCTGATGATCGCACTCAGCGTGAAACTCACAGATGTGACTAAATTTTATGTTAAAGTCCAGACTAGCTAACTACAAATCACACGTTAAGCATAAGCGCCGGACATGCAGTATAACTAATCATTTTATTGATGTGCATGAGGCCGATCATTCGAGCCTAAAATTTATGCTTATTGATCAACACCACAGTGAATTACTTAAGAGTGAAAACTTTTGGATAGGAATGTTGTTGACGTACCGGAAAGGTCTTAATGGCAGTCATGATTTCGCCCAACAATAGTAATTTATTTATATTAATTGTATATAAATATGTTCTGTAGTTAAGCTAGGCACTCTGATGAAGGATGGGGCATGCAGCCGAAAATTTAGTTTTTGTATTTAATATATATATATATTTTTTTAATAAACTTCTTCAAACGTAGCCGTTCTGTTTGTTACATATGAACTCTTGTCGGCTCAGCAGAGTACTGGCATTTGTCATATATATATATATATAGATAGATAGATAGATAGATAGATAGATAGATAGATATATATATATATATATATATATATATATATATATATATATATATATATATATATATATATATATATATATATATATAATATAAAATAGTATAAAATAGCCTGTGTTAATGTAAATAGTGTGTATTTGGGGGAAGTATTTTATTATTTGTAAACCGGACATTGCAACACTTAATCGTCGCAACGAACTTGTCTCCACGTGTAGACACGCTAATAAATATCTACTTAAAAACTTTATAACTTCGTCTTGATGCTAATATTTCGTGACACTGCTTAAGGTGTTAATTGATCTGTAATTAGATAAACATCCTTTACCATCTGTACATATTTAAAAAGTTCGTTAGAAGCTAGAGGTCAAACATATATATATATATATATATATATATATATATATATATATATATATATATATATATATATATATATATATATATATATATATATATATATATATATTGGAATGTGAAATTCAACTACCGTATTTACTCGTTTGAGCGCCGCCCCCGAATGAGCGCCGCATTTGAGATCAAATTTTTTTAAAGAGATTTTTTTTAGTGACAAAGACATTTAAAACTTGTTTATTTTACTGTTAAAAGTTCTTCTTATAATTCACAAATAAAAGTCTTTTTAAAGAGCGCCGCCCCCGATTGAGCGCCGCCCCCAAATGAGCGCTGCAACTGAAGCTCTGAAAATTTAAAGAGCGCCGCGCCGCTCAAACGAGTAAATACGGTACTTTAAAAACATTAAAAAATTATAGCACAAAAATAATTTTTTAATTTTTTAAATTTTTAAAGTAGTTGAATTTCACATTCCAAAATATAATTCGCTCCACAATCTCTGTGTTGAGCACTCTAGCAAAGTGGACAAACACAACTTCTATATGAATGGGTGTATATATATGTACCGGGTGTCCCAAAAAAAAGTACTCCTGTTTGATTCGTAATAAATTCTAAACAAGTAAAGCTTTTAAAGAGAAATAACTTGTATTAAATAGAGGAAGGCCTAACTTAGATTTTGATATATTACAGTTGTATTTTACTTAAAAATTCACGGAGATATTAATGTTCAAAATCGGGAGCATATTTTGGGATGTGTCTAAAATTAGCGAAAATCGGCATATCAAATATTAACTCCAGCGTTTGTTTGCTTAATGACATATCAGGCTAACTTGTATTTCAGCGAATTATCGTTAGGGTTTGTAAGGGATATGAGGTAGATTTAGGCATCTTACATGTAAGTCTTAGCTCATTGTTTCCTGAAATATGAACGTTCAAAATTATGCAAGTATTTAATATTAGGTCTTTCCAAACTTAAATGTACATGAAAGACTGACCATGGAAGGCAGGCGCTTAAATTTTTCTTATTCTTAAATAGCCTAATTTTTTTATGTTTTTAATGGGTTCAAACAGACTGCATGAGTTGATTATTTCTCGGTTAGAGCAGGATGAATATTACTCTTTATTGAAGGAAATAATATTGCTTTTTGCAAATGCATATCACCGTATCAACGCTACTATTTTGTTACGTTTTGTTCCAAAAATGTTGTATGCCTCTGGGGAATTGCTTAATTGTTATGTCTTATGGAGTTATATGGTTTGATTGTGTTTCATATAATTCTCAGTTTACTCTGAACTTGCCAAGATTAAGAAAAGGCAAAAGAGTTTGGGTGTTCTTAACAAGATTTCAGAACGTTGCAGAAGTTAGAAGAGCTTCACAATCCGTTGTGACTTGCAGCATGCCCTAATTTAGAACTACGAACGATCCATGACGATCCTTCGCGATGCAGCTAGTGGTCTCATGAAATAAGGAAACGTATTCGTGCTAGGAACACATGCGAATTTCGGACGAATAAATCCTGCTTGTATTTTGTAGATATAATAATACTTTGTTTCATAATAAACAATTTGTCAAGTGTCATTTATTTACTGGTAATAGTGCATGTTTCAGTCGGACAAATCTTGATTAATATTTGATACGCCGTTTTTTGCATATTTCAGACACATCCAGAAATATGCTCCCTATTTTAAAGATTAATATGTCCGCGAATTTTTAAGTGAAATACAACTGAAATATATCAAAATCTAAGTTAGTCCTTCCTCTATTTGATGCAAGTTGTTTCTCTTTAAAAGCTTTACTTGTTTAGACGTCATTACGAATCAAACAGGAGTACTTTTTTTTGGGACACCCGGTATTCTGTTATTTATTCTGGAGCAGTTGTGCTTGCAATGAATGATTATTTATCAGTCGTTTTTAATATTTAATATATCAAAGTGACTATATGACCGGCAGCCGTTCACGGTTTATCAAATACTAAATGGCCGGCAGTCTAGTGACTATAGTTGAATATAAAAACTTTTGTTTGCGTTAACTTTTACCGAGCTTGCCGTTAGCTCATACGGTAAGGGCGCTGCGTGCGGAAAGTTAAACGCAGTCGGGGTTGGGATGTGTTTTGTCTGACTTAGCATTGTTTTTTTCTTAAAATTTTTTAAACTTTTTTTCCGACTTTTCTAACTTTCAAAAGGTTAGGGTTAGGGGTTAGGGTTAGAAAAGGGTTTGGGGTTGGGGATAGGTTTATCATATAAAAATTCAACTTTAAAAATAGTCACTAGACTGCCGGCCATTTAGTATTTGATAAACCGTGACCGGCTGCCGGTCATATAGTCACTTCGAAATTCTCATTAATGCTATTGAAATTTAATACAACGAAATAGCATTCTACGTCGATAATTTCAATCATAGTTTAATAATTATTTTCGATCTATAGTAATTCGCCGTTTCCATGTTTTTTTTATACTTTCAATAAAGCTACAATAAAGCTAAATTTGTAGGAAATAACATTATTTAGTTATAAAATAGTATAAAAGGAATCAACAGTCAATTGCTTTCGATAAAACCTTGACCTTGTTTATAATATTATTACCGTCGTTTGCAACTAACGATGAACAGTCGCTCATAAAAACAGTTGCCTATTCGCGAGAGAATCTTAAGTTTTCTTATTTTGACATAATATCTATTTTTCAATAAATATATTGATATTAAACTTATTGAATCAATATTTCAAGTTTCAGACCAGTTGTACCAAAAGTTATAAGCGGTAGCGCATCATAACCAGGGCACAGAATGGTCATACCGAAGCCCATTGAATTTCTCGGTTTTTCCTATGATTTTCCAATGATTTTGACGGTTAGCACTTTTTTCCATCCAGCAAACCGCCCTATCGATTTTCTAAAGTCGCTTTTTTGCATTTTTTTATTAATTAGAGTTAGGATTGGGGATAGGGGTTAGAGTAGGGACTAGGTGTAGGGTTTGTGTTAGTTACATAGCCATTTAAAGGCCGCTTTCCACTTCAACCGTATCGTACACGCGTAAAAACGCTCAGGTTGATGCAATACTGATGAAAACAGGATTGAACAATGTTTTGCTGCCCACATTGTTCATAGCTGTCAACAATATTGAACACTATTCAGGCTCAACAATAGTGTTCAATATTGTTGACAAGTGTGAACAATGTGGGCAGCAAAACATTGTTCAATCCTGTTGAGCAGCGGGCTCGGCGTTTTTTGCCGTGTACCGAAACGTAGCGTATTTCTTTGTTTCTTTGTTTCCTGAGCGCTAGAGTGGAACTAATGATTTCAACACAAAAGAAAATGCTACGATACGGTCGAAGTGGAAAACAGGTTTAACACCTCTTCTCTCTCCCGAAAATGACGTCAGGTCAGTTTGCTGGATAGAAAATAGTGCTACTATTAGGATTGGTGTACAGTTATCCCGGTCGAAACAGGTTTTAATGTCTGGTACGACTCATAAACTGAGATTCCATGATATTACAAAAAGAATGCATTTAAGGATAAATAATATTGTTATTTTCTTTACATTTTGACAATTTTTTTTTAAAATTCGTCAGGCCCGCAACTAGACCCGCGGCTTGCAATCGTATTAGCATTTTTCTGCCCGCAGCCCGCATTTTTCGGCCCGCAGCCCGCATTTTTCGACCCGCAGCCCGCATTTTTCGGCCCGCAGCCCGCAATTTTTGGCCCGCAGCCCGCAT